CCAAAGACAGCAGGCCATGTGTTCGATGTTATTCCCCACCAAGGCCCACGCAGGTTCCCTGCGTGTGTGCGCAGTTCCTTTCTTCCCTCGGTGCATGAGGATGAGCCCATTTGGCAACCTCCGACATACAATCTAGCACACCATGCCAAGAGTCTGGTTCAGGGGCAGACCCTTCCCCCAACCTAACCTAGATTGGTAGAATGCCCTGGGAAGAAAGAGTATTCTCCAAACCCTTCAAAAAATGGCAGGGCATCCATGTTTTCGAAGCTTCTTTCCAGGCCATCCATGTTTCTTCCTTATGAACTTGTTCCGTCACCGCCACTCGCATCGCCGCAGAAGCGCCTCTTCAATGCGAGTCGCTGGCTGGACCGTGCTGGCCCGGGCGCTTTGGAGCTGGCGAAGCAGATGATCGCGCCGGAAGCGGACGCTGGGTGTTGACTGGCGTTTCATGTTGGTTCATAGTTCTAAACAGTACTGAAAGGTGACGCCAAGCAGTCATCCATACTTATCTAAAGGACACCAAGAGACACCGACTGCCGCGGTGGGCCGTGGAAGACCCCAGGCCGCCACGTGGAAGACGACCCGCCGCCGCTCCGTCGGCGGACGCAGAACGTCGGCCGAGCGCCGGCAGGTTCAGGCGACGGCCAGAACGAGGGGTTGAACGAGGTGGAGAGATCCCGGACGGTCCGTACTGGAGAAGATATCTGAGTAGTTTTAGGACATCAGAGTAGTCTGTAAAGGAGGATCTTTCAGAAAGGTCTTTATGAACCCAGTGGATCCACAGATAGCGGATAGCGGGACAATGGGGGACCCCCAAGCCCTGGCGCCACGGACGATGGGGGTGAGTTTCAAGTGCCTTTTTCGGTCATCAACTCAGATCAAACGATCCGCTCCGATCCCATCCGCTTCCCATTCAAGTCTGAAAGACTGGTGCTGCTTCAAACCTCGGGTGAAGTCTGACTTGGCGGATCTGGTGGTTCAGGGACTTTCTTTCCAACTTCTCTTGGATGTGGGGCCGCTCCTGTGCAGTCCAGCTGTGCCGTCGGACGGGACTCGCCCAGGAGCGCTGTAGTGCCCAGGAGGCCCTCGAAATGAGCCTGTTCAGCGAGCGAGCAAGCCCCGGCGCCTGTTGCGTCATCCACTGAGTGAGACTTTCGTCAACCGCCGCCTCCCAAAGAGAACGTGCCTGTTGACAGGGCAGAGAATGTCTGTTTTGAAGGGTGAGAAGGTGGAGAATTCATGGCTGAACTGTACGGTTGTCCGGATTTTCAGATGTGGATCTTCGAGTGCGAGAGGTGGAGTTTCAACATGAAATCAAAACAGAAGAGATGGCAGGTAGAAGACAGTAGAAGACCATTCTTGACTGAAGAGAAACACCCAGCCTCACGGCTGAATTGGTGGACCGATGACCTCTTAGCGTTCACAGATCGTTTTCAATTCTTGGGAAACACAGGAGTTGCAACGTGTAACGTTTGGTGATCAAAACACATGCAGCGCCACATCACTTGTTATAACTTGTTCAAAGGTGTCTGTGTGTGTCTGTGTGTGTATTGCTTCAGCAGTGAACAGCAACCTGACTGGGCGACTTCTCCAAGTTCATGTCCAGAAATTCTGGTTCTTCTTTCTGGTGGATAAAAACACACCGGTCCAACGCCACTTGCACCGCAGGTTCCGGCAGTCACTCCGCGCACAGGAGCGGTAGGACAGGTCCCCAGCAGTCCAACAAGAGAAACACATACTGTAAACACCCTCACATTCTTTGCATGCAAACCAGATTTTAATATATTATATAACCTTTATATAGACATGACATGACTCATGCGAAAGGAAAGGTCATATAGCAAGAATACCAGCTTCATGCCTTCGGATGGCTTGCCGTACGTTTTTCTCCATCCCTTGGGTGGCTGCCAAGCTCCAACTTCAAATGCAGAGCGACTTCTCTGTGGGAGGGTTCCGTCCCGACCGCGCTCAGGAGCGATTGGCTCCCGGCCGGACTGTCGACCGCGCTCGGGGCACGGAGCTTCCGTGATCGTCCTCGTCCTGTCTGGTAGCAGTTCCTTTCCCTGACCCAAGTTGTTTGTGTGGAATTTGGACACCCCTACGGGTTATGCACATGAGATTTTCAATCTTGTGTGATGTGGACCATGAACCTTCACGATTTGTGCATCCACACTGCTGGAAACTGTTTGACCCCCTGCTGCCCGGGCGTTCAGCTGCGCTGCCGGGTTTATTTACGTACTTCGTCAATGCTCCGTCGGCGCGTGCGGAAGTTTCGTCCTGGAGGTCGCAGATGTTTATCCCAGACTTGGCCAAGAAAGGGTACGGATGGAAGAAAACCTCATTCGATCAATTGCTACTTTGGATGGCTATAGGGCTCATCAATTTGCCGCCTTGACTTTGCTACATCAACTTTTGGTGAATCTGCTCCAAGGTTGACGGATGACATCAAGCTGGATTGTATATTTTTCTCAAAAGACATATTTTCCTTCTGGCCTCTCTCAGCAGCCTCAAAGCGATTTCTTCAAACTTTCATTAAGTACTAGTGTTCCATGGACATTGGGGTGTCTGAGAGCGAGATCTCAGCTACTAAACAGCTATTGGTAATTCGGGCTCTGAGCATACAAAGGCCCTCCATGGGTTGGTTGCTACAAAACATATAAAATAGGACTCGCCGTTAAAACCGCATTAGCCACCCTAGCAACTGATCTCTTCGGAACCTCAGAAGCCTTTGCATTGTGTTGATGACTTCCAAACGAGGCAGAGCTGTCCAACTCTCCCAGATGACAATGCACTGACGATGTCTGTTTCTTGGTCCTGGGGATTTCTCTCAACCTTTAAGGGGTACTTGTGTTGACCTTCGACTGACATTCTGACGGAAGTATCCACTGTATCGACCTGTCGCATGAAAGCCTTTCATGCGACAGGTGTATATCAACATACATGGATCATCATGATCATTTTCCATACCTAACCTAGACTTTTTCGTGCCTTTTCTCAATCGCCTCGGCTTCTCCTCGACTCAATCGAAAGCTGTGTCGACTCCAGGCCGCCGCTCCGGCGTCGTCCTCAGATGTCCGAAGAAGGGCGTCCGATGGGACGACCCGACCGACCTTCCTCCGCGCAGCGGTGAACGGTGCCCCGAAAAGGGGGACCCGTGCTGTTCAGGGACCCGTGGAGTCGGTGGAGTCGTCTTCGCTCTTTCGGGGCGTCGGCTGAGCCACCGCGGTGATGAAACAGGTCGAGAAAGCGGACGACTCTTCACTCGCTCTGGTGATGCAGCCTTCGCCTTCTTTTCACGGGAAAAGCCGTGAGTCGCAGAAAGCCGAAAGCGTAAGCGGAGAAAGAGGGCGCAGCCTTTGGACGGCAGGTCGCCGATTGATCCAAGGAGGTCGTTCGGGATGAAGGGGGCATGCCCACAGCCTTACTAATGACCTGTTGTGCGCCTGCGTGACCTGTTCTTCGGTGTGTGGTTTCGGGTTCCGGTCTATGGATCGATCCCATTGGGCGGCATCGTCGCAGTCGCCCAAATCCACGAGACACATCTCAGGAAAGAGGACTTCAGGACTCACTCAGTGTACTGTGCGACTGTGGCATGACTCACTCCCCCCTTCCCAGATGCCAAGAGTTGGTGGATGCATCAGTGACTCTTCACCGAGAAAAGGGCCCAATACTTTGGACTATGTAGACACCTCCACGGTGATGTCCTCGAACGGTCCTTCTGGAGACAATCTGAGCGGCCCGAGTCCCGAGTCGTTGGGTGGAAGAGAATACCTCAAGAGGTATCCCCGGTCAGTTTCCAGGAAACCCTAGGCTGCTGCGCAGCTGCCTACTCTGGGAGGAGACCAGGAACAACCCTGGCGTCGCCAGCTTCTGTCATCGTCAGCTTCATGTTTCAGCGGTTTTGGATCGATCCCTCATGGAGTATAGAGATGTACCTCAAATCTTCATTGGAGTCTCAATATTTTTTGAGTCATAATTGGCAGATCCATGGCGATGAAAGTTCCATTCCTGCAGCTGAACGGAGAAGCGATGCTTCTCGAAGTCATCCCAGATATCAGTGGTCGGGAACTCAAGGAGCGGATCAAAGAGTGCCAGCTTTGGGATGATGAACTCACACGTCAGACTACCAGGGTAGACATTGTGGTGGGGCCGAGCAGATTGCTGAAGAATGATGAGATAGCTGCAGATGCAGGCCTTTCTCCAGAATCCAAGGTGACTGTAGTTTTGAGACGAAACGCTGTGACCTGCTCCCGCAAAGATGAGCTTGATGAGTTTGGCGATGAAATTGACTTGGAGTCTCCATTTGTGGTCCATATCCCAAGCACGGCAACTGAAATCATTCCGGAGGCATTCAAGGGATGCACGACTTTAGCCAGTGTGACCATTCCAGACTCAGTGACCCAGCTTGGGGATGCTGCCTTTGAAGACTGCAGCTCCTTGGCTAGTGTGACCCTCCCCCACTCAGTGACCCAGATTGGGGTTGGTGCCTTTGCACGATGCAGATCCATGGCTAGTGTGACCATTCCGGACTCAGTGACCGAGATTGGGGTAAGA